ATGGTTTTAATCTGTTAAAAATTATCAACGTTATCATCGAAAATAATTATATAATCATTAACTAGCTAAATATAAGTTTAAAATGTGTTATCGATAACCCAATCGATAATTTATTACCAAGATGATTTACTTCATTAGATAATATAAAAAACCACACTGAACTAAATGTCAATTCATGGTGTTTGTATGAACTAATGATTCCTTTGTACTTGATGACTGCCTGACTTCGAATTCCAAATACAATACGTTCGTTCGTGCTCATCTAATATTTCTTGGTTAGATTGTGTTATTTCTAGGATTCCTAGTTCGCACTATAATTTAAATCATCACATTGGCGTCGCGATGGAACGTTTAGACATACATTCAGATTTTGAGGATTACACGGAAGATTTTAAAATCTGGGCTTTTACCAAAGGATATCTTGAGTGTTAATATTGTGACTCACTTCCTTACATTCATCGGGAAGAAAATCATACAGCTTATCAAAACTCTGGGTTTACCAGAAAAGCTTATTTCGTTTCCTTATGCAACTCGCAAGCGACTACTACTAGACCATGTAAAGTGTATAAATTTCGAATGCCGTAAAGGAAGGAAATTTTATAAAATGATTCGTCGGGACATCAGGATCCCATTACTTTACTACGTGGTCCCCGTCTAATACGTAATCAAGGTTATTCAGATAACAGTTCATTGAGTAGTTGAGAAGCAGGTCACGAAGATGAGCACAAGTTTGGTAAATGTTTGATCTGTGGGAAGTCTCACTCACGTAATTCATGTATATTTCGTAATCCTAAATGCTTTAAATGTGGTATGATTTGACACATGCCGGCAGTCTGTAATACTAACATTCATTTCGCTGCAAGCAATCCTAAGTTTGGTCTTATTAAGTTGGGTGTTTCTAATGATCATTTATCTTTATCCACGACTTCGAAAAGCAGCATACGGTCATATAGCAGTCCAGAATCATTGTTAGGCAAAAGCTACAAGTCAATAACCTTCTTACCGGATTCCTCATGTCATTGTACCAGATATCATTTGTCCTAACGGTTCACATATTTCTGATGTAATTTCATATAAATCTGAAGAAAATATGTTGAATGAATCAAATCATGATCGAAACTCCGATAGATGCTTATTTTTCTAATGATTCACTATTCTTCAATGACATTTTTTAATAAATTTGATGAAAATACTTTAGAGAAATCAGATCCTGATGTTATATCAAATTTTATTTGCTCTCATAATGCATTTGTTTCTTGTGGGGAACTTGTTCAATGCAAAGCACAAGTCTCACATGAGATCGATTTCGATGATTTTATATCAACTGTTGTTTATCCTTATCATAAGGTCACTTCAAATGAATTCTCTAACCAATGTGAGAAATATGTTTTAAATTAGGCCAGATCATTTATCGTTTGTGGATATGAGGATCCAATATTATATCGTGGGAGTGTTGAAAAACCTATGGTTTCAATTCTAGATATCAGTGATTTTAGAACACAACCGACTTTAGTTGTTCATTCTAATAATAATGAGTATATTCTAGGTCATACAGAGTCTACATCCAATACACAGTCAGACAAACACACGACGAAGTTAAGAAGAGACAAAATCGACTGCAGAAATTTTGATTCTCATTTAAGCTATGGTGAATGTGCCGTTTGAATGAACTAGTGATTCCTTTCGAATTCCATGTATAAGACTTTCTTTCGTGCTTATCTAATACATCTTGGTTAAATAGCGTTATTTCTGGGATTCCTAGTTTGTACTATAATTCGAATACTTCAAACTATCACAATATTCCATGCTGTTTGATGTTAGTCACTACAGTGGGTAAATATCTTCGCACGAAATCAAATCGACAGTTTCAACGTCTATGAAACAACATATTAATATTGAGCCAGTATAACCAATAATTCACTTTTCATATTTATTCATCTTTGAGAAGAGATTTCGTCTTCTTCTCCTCCCCCTCAAAACTATCCGTTCCTCACTAAACCACTATAAAGCTTTATTATGTTACTGATTGATTTGTTCCTTCTTCTCTGTAGATTGGGTTTATGCTTTCGTGAGATTGATCCATATTCACATTGCGCATCTTGAGCTTAAATTACAAATTCTATTTCAAAAGAGCTGCTTTATTGCCCAATAGAGAAACTCGATTTATGCACATCTATCACGTCAATTTATAGGCAGATATATGAATAAACTGGCTGACTGTCATGCAAGGACTAACTCTTTAGTTGTAGTGATCTAGAAACGTAAACGAATATTTGAGGTGGTTTTTGTTACAGACTGACATCAGTTGGAGGATACAGAAAAATTAAGAAGAATCAACTAGATATTATATCTGAGCTTGTGACAACCAAGCGATGTGCACCCATCAGGTAATACTGAGTCAAATAAGAGATTTTCAGATCTCACATTGTTATAATCTCTTTCTTCTTACGGTATTGACCCAGCTATTCCTATTGCTTAGTATTCTTGGACACCGATTCACTCGACAAGACCCCAAATCAGAACACGGTTGAACAGGAAAGAGATTATATTCCAAATAACAAGGCTAACACACATTTAGTATAATACCGACTAGTCACAGATTGAATTCCATGAGACAATTGTCACTCTCAGCTATTTCGATCCATCTTGATGCTGTTCACTAATCAGTGTGTGTTTATTGTTCGATCAGGTACTTGGTTCAAGAACTTATTGTCTTGGATTCGATTCCATGTTAGTCCCTAGACGCCTAATTAAGACGAAACGATTAGACAGTGTTTTTGGCTCTTGGCAATTCCCCAACAGGCATCAATTCGTGGTGAAAACCATCTTCATGCTGATCAAATGTCAACAGTTAACTCCATTCGACAACAAACAAGCACTTTTAGCTTACCGATAAATAAACATAGAAAGAGGGAATCTGGGTAAAAATAATTACTTGTCAGCGTCTCTCTACTGACTACATACAAATACGAAAGTAGCACCAGTAATCTCTAGTCGTTCTTGGATTCCTTGTAAGAACGATTGAGTGAAGTCATGAATCGCGTTTTTCTCGTCGATTATATCAACAATGACCAATCACCTTAGGTCAACAACTAACAAAAGAGATATGATCACATTCAGTAACTGTTGACATACATGTGAATATGCTACACATAAGACCAATCCTTTTTTGAATTCATTACATACACCGTTGGAGAACACAACGAAGAAATTAGTCAATAACCATTTTAATATCGCCGATTTCGGTACTTTGATTTGCTTTACACCTGTTTTGGTTTTTCATCAACAGTACTATTGCGAATTCGCAGAAGTATCTGGAGTGGAACAAACTCTATCGGTGAGACTCTAATTTAGGGACGAGTCAATCAGAAGGCAGTATAAAGTAAAAATATATTACAAGAAATTAATGAATTACAGTGGATATTCTTCTTTTACATGATTAAAAAACTTGTTAAGGTTTGATAAAGGTTCAGAAGTTATGAATTCATAATGCATATGGTATAGAAACTCATCCATAGGATTAGGGTGCTAACATGCGATCGGTTTACATCGGATTTTAGAGGAGAGGCTACAACCCCAACCCTTACCCTAAACCTAACACTAGGCTACAACCCTAATCCTAACCTCTAAAATCCGTTGTAAACCGATCGAATGTTAGCACCCTTATCCTATGGATGAGTTTCTATACCATATGCATTATGAATTCATAACTTCTGAACCTTTATCAAACCTTAACAAGTTTTTAAATCATGTAAAAGAAGAATATCCACTGTAATTCATTACTTACTTATATTTTCACTTTATACTAACTGTCTTCTGATTGGCTAATAATTGTCAAGGTCATTTAAGATTCGTTCGATGATCGTCCCTAAATTAGAGTCTCGCCATTCTATCTTCTCTGAAGTAGTGCTCATTGCAAATGCAACATCGTCGCGATGACTAATAAAAGCCAACTCGTGTTAGTCAAGTGTTTTGATTTATTTTAGTGATCTCTAGAAGCAAACAGATGTAGTTTCACTTAACGACAAATTCAAGTACCATTCAAGCAGATTGTGATGACGTGTTTGAATAGACTTTTTATCACGTTCGTTTGAAAGTAACGAGTTGGATGCATAACCTGAGGGTTTTGAGTTTATTGCTATCAGGGTTATGTGTACGGATTGCTGAGTAGTTCTGAGGTAGCTAACAGTAGTCCTTGATTCTTAGCTTCTCAGACTAACGTAAACCCGTCATCAGAAATGTCATTCCTGAACGTCGACCACGATTTTATGAGTTTTGTAGTCATTTACTTAGGCCATTCCAAAATTGTTAAGTAGCTTGTTTACAAAGCGCATCTCAAGTAGGTAGCTTTATGTGGCAGTGTTGTATTTCGATCTGAATTGGTTGGACAACGGTTTAAAATGTACTTTGAGTGACTTAGCCAAACTAATGGAGAAACACTTACAATACAATAGACTAATTATCTTCTCTTCGTAGTGTGACAATTACGAAGTGGGAGAATTTACTGGTGTGAGTCGCCTAGACTCAACTACACTGACCAACAAAATTGATTAGCCGAGCGGAATTATTCGAATACCTAATTGTCAGCCGAATTCAGTCTGTGGTGTGTGGTACTGATGTCGACAGACATAATTAGTCTAAGTCATCAGTTGAAAGTGAAATGCCTGGCGGCAGAAGGCTAAGATCGAAGAGTAAAGAACGAGAACAGAGAGTGCTTGGTTTCGAAACGAAGGGTCAGTCAAATCCGAGGCAATTGATCAACATTTTCTAGATGAAGCATTCGCCGTATGGTTCTCAGATTTTACTAAGACGTTCTGTAATTTTGTATTCAAACATATTTGGTTGTTCTCGCTTGCATTCTCGCTCACTATATTACTACAAGCATCAATGTGTTTCAACATCTTTAAAGCAATTCATAGTGAGACAAGTTTCCTGTCACGTTACGCCATTCAACAAGCATTCAACAGAAACTTTAATTACCAATACAAGAACAACTAGTTTTTTGATCATTTTTGCCAGTTTTTAAAGTCAAGTATGGTGACTTTAATTAGACCGGGGTTAAAAATAACAATGTTTAATAATCAAAAACATAGTAATAACAACAAATACATATTACTCAAACAAAATAACTGCGGTAAGTAGGAATGTATTAATAAAGCGAGGTGCTATACATGTTATGTACATGAAGAAATAATGATGTTCCACAATTTTACAAAACGAAGATGGAAAAGTATCTCCTAGGATAAGTTTCACTATTTAACTACTTCAATGGTGTTCTTAATGCCTCCTCAAATTTACTTAGAGTTCGTTTCAAACCTTCTCTAAGATAAGGAGAGAAAGACAAAATAACATATTACACAAATAGGATATTTGCCAAAACATTTCATATTTGGTTATAGTATCGGCAAAGGATATTTGGACTGGCAAGTTTTTGGATTAGAAAATAATTTGCTTTGAAGTTAGTAGGTCTCTTGTAAAATTCAGCAAGGCTGTCTGATGAAAAATCCAATTTAATTCATTTTCGTACTAGGAACTTGTAATGAATGAGAACCACGGTCATCGATATCACCTGATAAGATTCACCAATAAGAATTATTTAACACCCTTTTCCCCTGCGAACACTATTTAGCACTTTTTTCCGTAACTCGAACACTTAATTAGATTAATTTGTGTTGGATGGATGCGATTCTATGTAAGTAAACATAGTGCAAGTTTTTTCTAAATACGTTTCTTTATGTCGAACCATCCTACCTTTTAGAGAAGAAAGCACATGTGGGACTAGTCGTTGGACGTGCATTATCAAATGTTTCTTAGAGTCCTCGTATATTGACCGTGTAGATGAAGATGTTTGGTACATCACCTACATAAAGGCAGTGATATTTTGGTTTACTAAGAGTATCACATAATATGCCGTTTTGCACTTAAGCTAAAAATATATTAGTGAAAATGGGACCAAGGGGAGATCTCACTGCTACTTCATCTATTTGTCGATAACGTTTGTTTTTGTGCAAGAAGTGGGTGCTCATTATCAAATTCAATAAAAGTCTCTTCACTTCATCTATTAGCATAAATAACACCGTTTTTCTCTACAAGTTGTTTGCAAATATATTCAATAGTTTTAGTCAGTGAAATACCAATAAATAAAGACATTATATCCAAAGATGACGTGGCTATTTTCGTTAGATTAATATTTCTTAATACATTTCCAAATCCAAATACTTCTTTTACATTGCGTTTCACTAACTTTCGATGTAGTGGTCTTAATAATTTCACGAGCCACTTTGCTGTTGAGTGATACTGTGTGTTTGATAAATTCAGAATTGGACGTAATTGAGCTTATCGTTTTTACACTCTAAATAGGTCAAAAAGGTGTGGAGTGCGTGCTTCTGAACATTTAAGCATGTCACAAGTAGAATGAGAAATAAATTGTTGTTGTTCTACAGATTTTAACGATGAAATTGGTTGATGTTCCATCTTTTCTGCCAGGCCTTTACGTAATCCTAGTTTATGACATTTAGTTTGATCATCAAACAGAAGACCAATTTATCTATAGAATCAGTCATGTTTAAAATTGCAACACCTGATCCTTTATCTAGTTTCATTATTATTAAATTTTTACTCGATCTGTTTTCTGGGTGGCTTCTCGAGGTTTCCTAGTCAATGTCCTCTTCATGTTGTGTTTGCTGCTTCTAAATTGGTTACAGTAGTCAATTAATGTCATCTTAAATTCTTCTATTTTGAGCTTACTTGAAGCTACCAAGTCTTGTGTCTGGATTAGTAGATTTTTAAACTAATCCTTTGAAAGCATTGAATTTTTGTTCCTTCTTGTTTGCTGCACTTCTGAAGCATAAGTCATAACTCGATCCTTAAGATTTCTAAGAACACTGTCAATAGCATATAATCTAATTTAGTGATATGTACTTGAAGTATTTTGATTTTGTTCACAGCATATCTTTTCAGTGACTTGACATTAGATTCGACTTTATATCGATAGAGTGATTTGAAAACCTGTTTAGGATAACGTTTGGTCAGCGTGAAATGAAAAATGAAATTCAAAGTGGTTTTTGCTTCTGTGAGGTTTGTACTATGGGCACTTAGTGAAGAGACTCAGTACAGCTAAGTACTCACCGAAATTTAGCAGTTTAATAATTTTCATAGGATATTCAAGAACAGAGTATTCCAAGCTCGCCCGATTGAATCATCTTAGTATATCCACTCTTTATACTACAGGCGAGTTAAAAAATCATTATATCAAATAACATACAATGATGACTGAATAATCGGAGTGACAAGAGTTATTAGTGATATATGTACACATGTTTAAGGCAATCTGAAGAAAGATATAGGGAACTCACATTTCTTTTTTTAACGGTTCCAGCTGAGACATAGATTTGGATAATTCTTCGCACTTGGCCATCAAAACATAAGTGGACTAAGGGGGAAACAAAAGTTCTGAAAATATTCCAACAATAGTTAAGTATTTCAGATACAAATAATACATCTTACGTTAATCAAAGTATACAAGGCTTTACTTTAACTGGTTGATTGCTATAATGACAAGGGAATCCCTGTTTTCTCAAACTATTGAAACTTCCTACATCGTTGAACCTTATAGTTTTAGAATGCACTGGGGATTTGTGCTAAATTCATATTAAGATGGTGTTGTTAGTAAAATTATTGTTTACAAGCGGACCATAATGCATGAACTACTGTACATCTACAGTTGGGATTAGTGGTCTCTAATCCGAACCAAGATCATTAAGAGTATTGCGTAAAGTTGCCCAGTACTTATAAGAGCGTTAATCATAGCAATACACTAGGGTTATTTTTCATATTAAATTTTAGAAATGTACCAGTCCACCGTGAGATACCTTAAAATCACACTTGTGAAAATAAAATTATGACCCATTTCTGGTCAAGTAAACTTTCAAAGATAAGAAAGGCACAGTGGTTGAGTATGTTGATCATTCCACACTATACTTATTTCATAAAACGGTTTCTGTCGAATCAGTAGAATGAGTCACTATTTAAACGTGAGAGCAGGCAATAAATGATAAAACGGAGCATTCACTGAAGCATGTCAACGTTCATGCTGAAGCTATGCCAAAAATGTCGTATACATATATATGTGTACAAATAAATAAATAATGTACTCAACTAGATAACTGTTATTCAAGATTTCGACTTTATATAAACAAAGAGCCCTTAGTGAGGATATTCATAGAAACCTAAACCAACCTTAAATGTGGTAGTACAGACACTGAAAAATTATGGCTAGTAATGGCCGTACATTTTCAAACTACCGATGTCAACTCGCCATTTATCAACAAACTAACCTTTATACATGCACCGATAGTTTCACAAGCGTAATCCACGGAATCTGAAAATACAGTTGTACAGTCCAAGGTAAGACTTGACATCTAAAACATAAAGAAAACAGTACGCCATTATGTTGGTTTCAACATGAAAGGAGCAAGAATGACGAAGAGGGAATTACAAGAAAAGGAGGTAAATAGAACTAAAACAGTAGTGTCCTTATCATTTGGACGAAGATAATATCTAGTAACTACAATCATGTAAAATGGGATATCAGTTTGAAATGGCCTTCACCCATCACCGTTTAAATAGTCAAGTGGTGTGAGTAGACCTTTCGGAAAAGATGTCTATGGCATATGGGAAGCATTTACGTGATCAAGGAGTCATATTTTTAGAAACTACGAATTACATCTAAACTTACCAATATTTTATAAGCTCAACGAGCTACTGTATAACATACAACTTAGCTTTTCAGCTCAAAGTTTGATTTTGTGGCACTCTTTGTATAGTCATGACCCATTTAGACGTTAAACAAATTTTGGAAATAGCATGTGAGATAAGTTGTGCTGGAAAATAAACTGCACGACTTTTCCAGATTTATTAATACTAAAGACACTCGAAATGGTGATTTGTAGTTCAGGTGGAGTTCCGTTCTTTGGCCTGGTCGTAGAGCCTTCATTGTTCTCTTGAATAATATCACCGGCACAAAATTCACTTCTACCTAAAGTGTAGTCATATTTAAATGTTAAAAAAGTGAAAAATCGCGTTGATGCCGGAGTTTGTTTACGGTATGTCACTACGAAATAAAATATTTTATCCAAATGAAAATGGCGCATTTGATACTTCCCTGACGAACCGCCCATGTAGGTGGATGCCGAATACCCACTTGGACAAAAGTCAGACATCTACATCCGACTAGTCAGTATTCCCGGGGTAAATTATGATATATTATATAGTTTTGAGATGAGATTTAAAAACACTTTGAATTTACTGATCTGTTAACATTAAAAATACGGCACTAACGAAACTGTGTGAACTAGTTTACAATCAGCAGGAAATAAGATCCCAGTTATTGACTCTACGACAAGAGGGAACGTAGCGAGCCAGGAACAATAAGAAATGAGGCTAAAGGTCTCGAAACTCTATGCTTTCCATGTAGTTCGCCCATGATATTGTTAATTGGTCATCTGAATCATAAATATCTATCGGTGAATAAATGTAATCACATTTGCACTCAAAGAGTGGCTTGCAAAACATGGAGAGTAACACTTGGCATTATAATGTTAAGTGTTACAGTATATTGTAAATAAATAAAAGAGTAACTTAATTCTCCAGTTACCCAAGCAAAAATGGGGGAAATATAGACAAGCTTTGGAGAAATACATCACCTGTTTCTTCTTTTGCAGATCTTTTCAAATAACAATGGATTGGCAATTACAAAGAAACGCATAACGATTGATGCTCAAGCTTCTGCTATGATGCTGTATCATAATAGGCTTTCTTTTTAATAAATTTATTTAAACATATACCATTTTTCCCGTGGATTGAAGTTTTAATGTGGTGTGTTGTGGGAATAAAAGCGAATATAAGAGACCTTTGGTGTTATGCCAATGGTGTTTCAAAAGGTTTAAAAAAAGTAGATAATTCGGCGTGTATTTAGGCGACATTTGAGAGACAGAGCGACAAAAAGGGGGAAATCCGCATTATTTCCCCTGGGCAGGAGAAAAATCAGACATTTTGGCACGTTTCCCCCTTATTTTCCAACGCATTTTCCCCTTTGTTGGTTGATTGGGTCAGACATGTTTGCAGCTGCCCATCACGATAACACAAGTAATTCACTTTACAATCTCATATGGAGGGATTTATTACGAAATACCTGGTTTAATGTAGACGTTAATGAACGAAGCAATGAGTCTAAATTATTTGCTATCCCTTCTGCGCTCTTCTCAAGTTCTGTCAAAATCCCGAGCTGTAACGCACACATCAAACTAACATAATAGTTTTGAATGTACAATGAATCTGACAAAATACAAACTACGTGAACCTTTGTTGCCCACGAATCGATGGTGAGGAACTACTGTACTCGCTCATAAGCGTCTGCCTCTGTAGCTTCAACAGTTATTATAGATTTTATCAGCTTCACTTTTTTATTCACATGAGCAGTGGTTTCAAATTGTTCTTTTGCTTAACATGTTTCCGAATCCAATAGTAGTGGATCACCAAAGCCTCTGAGTAGGAACCTAGGTATTTTGAACGATAAAAGAGAAAGAGGAAGAAGAAATTGTAGATTACAGCGAGATACTGTTTATTGTTCTTAAGTATATGTTAAGTTTCCTCTTAAAGTGCTCATGAGGAGTCACTTAAACTAGCTCAACAGGCACCAAATTCCAGCATTCGACTACTCTCAAGGAGTAGAAAGTGGGTCTGCAATCCATTCTGAGATGTTGTGTCTCCAGATTCTGGGTGTTACTCCTAAGTTTTGTATTGGGACTAAGCTCAAGTAGGTGTTCAAGGGGATGCCTGAAAGTGTTAAGGATGTTGTAAGTCTTTAGGACACCTCTAGGACGCCTGTACTCTGATGGGCAAATATTCAGCGATTTTAGGCGCCCTTCGTAAGATTTAAATTCGAGTCTCCGAACTGATTTCGTGACTGGCTGTAGGATACATTGCAGTGTGTCCTTATATTTTTAGTGGTGGAGGAAACCCTATAGTTCCCTACTTTGAGTGAGGTCGAATAAAATTGTTGAGGATTGTGTGAGAAGTTCTTTCGTCGAACTGGCGCTTCAGTGTTAACAGTGTAGGGTTTGCTTGGAAGGAATATTTTGTCTCAGAGCGAGACTTCAGATCGTGGGGTACGAACACTCCTAAATCATTTCCAACTTGGGATACTACTAAAAGGGAGTTACCCTTGAGTTGTAGTTGTAGTCTGCAACATGTATCAGATGGACCAAGTAACACTTTGAAGTGTTGAAGATAAGTCTGTTGTCATCTGCCCATCTTTGAAGTTGAGTCAGATTCTCTTGAAGTGCCAGTTTATTCTCTTGATAGTGAGCTTAGTTCCAGCGTTTCACACCATAAGTAAAATGTAATAAATCCGACGGTGCCTGCTGTGGAAGATCATTTATACAAGTGATGAAAAGAAGGTACCTAGTACTGGCGTAACTGACCAAGACATTCCATAGTCTTAGAAAAAGTGAAGTAAACACTAACCCTAAAATATCGATTATTTAGATTTGAAGTGAACTAATCAATTTAAGGTGATTTGATACCTTACGATCAATGATGGTTGTTCACCTGTCCACCTCTCTCAGCAGGTTGGTTATACGAGTGTGACCTATTCCGAAACTGTGCTGTCGGAGAGCGATTTTGTTAACAGGTAGTCACCCAGACCATAGAACATCAGGGACTGCATAAATTTTGAGGGTATTGAGAGAAATGCTACCGGCCTGTAGTTTGAAGGTTCGCTGTGTCGAACTCTTTTGAAAATTGATATGTAGTGGCATTGGGCCATAATCACACAATCCTCAAAGCTGAACACGAGACAATTGGTAAATATTATAGCCCAAAGCCGCCAATCAGAAGCAGCGAATCATCGATCGGACCAAGGACTCGTAAAACACGTGCGAGCAGCCTGGAGTCCTTATTGATCTCTCTTCCTGTCTAGCCCAGTCAGTTAAGTCCAGAACATCAATCTCATCCTCTGCAATATGAATCATTACATTTCAAACAGATCACAACGTAGCATAACATAGAAAATAACATTTTACAAAATTTGCTCAAATGTGGCTGTGAATGTGGGAGACAGTGACTAATAGATAGGGCATAATTCAAGAATGGTAAAACGCATAACAATGGTTCATAGGTCAAAATAAAGTTTATTATAAGAGGAATATGAATATGAATAGTTTACTTATTTAACAATTATACGATAAAAATATACGTTTAGTATTGGTCCGTAAAAGGATCAAAAAGTTATCACTTATTATATTTATTGGGACCTAGCAGGAAAGTAGATGTTTAACATTTAACGCGGAGAAAAGCCCAACGAGGTGAAAGGCGGGATCAATGGATTGAATTAATTCGAATTGATTGGATGGTTTAGCTCGGCCTTGCAGGCGTCGTCCCTGTTGAATGTCATCTTATTGTCTTTTATTCATGTCAAATGTATTGTTCTATCTCGAGCCTAAGTCTGTTCTCCATCATGTATTGGTGACTGCTACAATGCAATTAGATGGTGTGGGCGATGATATGACTTCCACGTAAGATTTTATAAATTAGGCAGTTATATCATGACAAATCTACAATTTTAGGATTAGATCTATCATTAGGGTTGTACTATTGTAATAGTAGACCATAATTCTACAGATATAATGTGAACCAAACTCTACTTTTCTGGCAACGTTCCTTGGTTTGGCGAATGTAAGGACATTACACCAAGCGGTGTTGTCAGTGTTGAAGCCGCCTACCTCAGTATAGCAGAGTGGATCATATGCACGCCAGGAGAAGTGTCTGTGTTTATAAGATGCAGTTTCCGACACACCGAGTCGGCCCTCACACTCTTTAAAGCAAATCATATTGAATTGCGCACAAATTTAGTATGGGTTGGTTGAAGTGTACGAAGGCACTTGCTATCAGAAGGTTGGCGGCGTCGCTTTCGTGGCTGGTTGAGCCACTAGGACCTAGTAGTTATTGCCATTGTGTGTTGGTTTCATGCTTGTTTGAATTACCTGTATGCGCTGTTGATACCGGTTCGTTTGTACTCAGTCTAGTAGCTTGGAGTCCTTCTGTGAGTGAGCCGTGTAACCAACATTGGTTCAGTTTTGGAAAGGTTGAGCTTCCCTTTCCACTCTTCCCAGAGCATTCTGTCATTTTTATCCTGAAGACTGAGAGGAAGATTAGAGCTGTCATTAAGGTTCACGATTATGAGAAAATCACTGTGAACCGTGGTTTTTTTCACATGATTTCAAGTACGTTGAAGTTGATGTCATCTCTGTTTGGCAGCTGGAATTCTTTACGGATTCTTGTGCCGTTTGGTGACTGTTTGGCCAATCTCAGAGGTAGATTGAGCAGCCAAATGACTAGCTGATTTCATTACAAGATCTGGGCTGTTCAGCGTTTTTGAAGGTGGCGCTCAAGTTTTAAAACTCTGTTGATGTTGGTCTAACTGCTTGCAGAATTTTTGAAGACCAATTTTGAGTTAAGAGAGCCTCTGCTAGGAAACCCAAGTTTTCTGAGTCTTGTACCTCCGGTGCTATGATGGTGCTGTACTTTAGTATATCCCCACCAGCGTTGTTGCGTGTATAATCTGTACTAGTTTTGTCAAAGTCTCTCTTCTTTACTTCATTGCGCGTCTTTGTTTGTCTATCCGCTTCGGGACAAAACCTTAATATCAGTAATGTAGCCGTGACCAAACTTCATGATAATATCAAAAATAATACTTATCAGTTGTAACTTCATCTTTAAGAGTTTAAAAATGCACTAGTTATTAAATATTCGTCTAGAGTAGTACTTTTGTTTATAATTGATGATGGAGACACACTACGTGATCACGATCTGATGTTCATGTATGACGTAATACTGGGTTGAAATTCCGACATTCTACACAAAATGTAAATAGTATGACTGTACGAACATTCAATGTAATATTGAAGATGCGTGTAAACAACTGCTAAAAAGGAAAGTACATATATCCTAAAACAGATTTCAATCCCTGAAAGATAACAATGCCAATTTACTAGTGTATGTTTGTCCAGCAAATAACAAAGGCCTGACTATCATTAGAGTGGAAAAATTTCATTCTAACATTGTGTTATGTAAGTCATGAGTTTTGATACCGTCTTGACATCAGACTCTCGGAGTTAACTTTCTCGTTTCGTTTAGTCGGCTGCAGGCAACAAACTGTTGGTTCCCATAAACACTATCCCACTCAAAACACAATGTTTTGAAGATAATTTGACAGTTAAATTTGAATACATGCATATTCTTTGAATTCATACCATTTTATTGTGTTGAAGGTATTCCTTTGAACTGATTTTCAACATTATCTTTGAAACGACAAGAAACATTGGGATTCTTAATGCACGACGATTGTGATTTTCTAATGGTGTGTTTGTTATCTCAAACGAATAGATGAATAATTTAACACGACTCAAGACTCCTTCATTTCATGGCAGGGAGCTGACCATTTCAAGAGGTGTTGTCTAGTAAGGCTAAAATCGACGTCATCCAAACATTCCTTTCCTCTTGACACATCGAATGTGAAAATTCAAATTCATGCTATCCATTTTATTCACTATGAATTTCACACATTTAATAAGTGTAATTTGACAGTACATAGCCCTTCAAGTGATCAAGATATTATTCAAGATCTTCGTAATTTAAACAGGACAGATTGTTTCTGTGACAGCCACACTGTCGAGTCTGTTTTACCTTCTGCGTCATTATTCACTCCCCTCTCACTCTTTTGCGTATAGTTTTATACTACTTATTTGTATTCAGTGAATAGTTGTATTCTCGGCAGTTATTACGCATATGCTGTAACGCAAGCTTCTCGTGTGATATTCTGAAATGCTTATATATACTTATAATATCTATTGTATTTATCATTATAATTACTCTATCTCAGTCATTGTAGCAGATATTCACTATTTTGTGCACTTGTTCACCTATTATTTAGACGCAACATTTAGCATATTGTTTACTGTTTGTTCGGATTTCGCTTGTTGATAAACTGTTACCAAGTTTAGACACAGCTAACAACTGTATTTTGCACCATCGTATGTTGTAATTATTTTTTCTTCTACTAATACAGGATGTTCTTTTTATTTCAGATTAAAGGACGTGATGAATACCACAGACACCTCAAACGTTTATGAATAAGACAAATTTTTCGCCATAATTCAATAAATATTCAATGTTTAAGACGAAAAGTCGTTTTTCGAACTTCTATTTTGCACGCCTGTCAATTGGGAGATATAGATGCCTCGATAGACACAATAGTTTTCAACTTCGG